CGATAGAGGATCTTATGAACATTTATTCAATGGAACTGTCGCCGCCTACGTCTGGTGTGATAAAAAGCCAATTTATTTTCTAGCTACGACTCACATAAATGATCCTGATGTAACTGTACTTAGGTATAATGCTACAGAACACAAACAACTGCATGTAAAATGCCCCAATATCGTAAAGATAGGTTGGCAGGCAACGAAACATACGCCCACAGCAGCAATATCGTCTGGGCATTCAACAAGAGTTGTCAAATATTTTTACTTTTTTCGGTAATGAAACATTTATAATACATTAAAATCTGATTAAGAGTAACAACTCATTAAGTAATTATCAGAAAACGATTAGAATATGTTTGGTTTTTATAAAGTTCTGCCCTATGCTAACGTTTAGTATACGAAACTTTTAACATCATGGATTTAGATTCATTGAAAATCAATATACTTGTTCGTCTCAAGACCTTAAACTCTGTGTATCAATCTGAAGTCAATCGGATGATAACTTTAGCCTCTAGAGCGTCACAAGATTTTTCAAAGTGATCAAGGGCCATAACTCCGGCAGAAATTATCGGAAATCTCATGGCCTCAAGCACTGTGTATAAATTTAAAGTCAATCGGATATTAACTTTGACCTCTAGAGCGTCCACAAGATTTTTTGAAGTGATCAAGGGCCATAACTCTGGCAGTAATTATCGGAAATCGCTGAAAATCAATAGGCTTCTTCGTCTCATGACCTTAAACACTGTGTATAAATTTAAATTCAATCGGATATTAACTTTAGCCTCTAGAGCGTCCACAAGCGACGGACGGACGGACAGACAGAATTCAGCTGTCCCGGTGGAAATAATTGCCTTATGGCAATAATTTAAATCAGCGGCTGCCAGGCAGGATACGCCCACATTTTACAAGAGATGGATAGAGAACAAGCTAAACCAAAAACGATTTTTCGTACAATCACGGGCCATAATTCAGGAAGTTACGATCCAACATGTGCGAATGTCGACAGGAACCAAGATCTTTGGGTTATAAAGATATATTTCAAGTTTCATCAAAATCGGATCAAAATTGTGGCCTCTAGAGGGTCCACAACCTTGATACACCATATATTTACACTATTTGCATACAAGGGGCGGCCATTTTGTTCGGCAATTTTGGTCTGATTTTTACGAAATTCTAACTCAGCCATCATTAGGGTGTAACGGTGATATATTCAAACAGTTTTTTAAATCAGATAAAAATTGTTACCTCTAGAGTGACCACAAGCTAAAAACGTGATTTTTTGTACAATCAAGGGCCATAATTCGGGACGTTACGACATGATATGCGCAAATTTTGAAAGGAACCAAGATCTTCGGGTTATAAACATTATTTCAAGTTTCATCAAAAATCGGATCAAAATTGTGACCTCTAGAGGGTCCACAACCTTGGTATACCATATTTTACACTATTTGCATAGGAGGGGAGGCCATTTTGTCCGGCAGTTTTGTCCAATTTTCATGAAAATCAAACTCAAGCGTCATTACAATGTAACGGTGATATCTTCAAATGATTTTTTAAATCGGATAATAATTGTTATCTCTAGAGTGACCACAAGCTAAAAACGTGATGTTTTGTACAATCAAGGGCCATAATTTGGGACGTTGCGACACGATATGCGCAAATTTTGAAAGGAACCAAGATCTTCGGGTTTTAAACACTATTTCAAGTTTCATCAAAATCGGATCAAAATTGTGACCTCTAGAGAGTCCACAACCCTGACATACAATATTTTACACTATTTGCGTAGGAGGGGAGGCATTTTGTCTGGCAGTTTGGTCCAATTTTCATGAAATTCGAACTCAAGCGTCATTACAATGTAACGGTGATATATTCAAATGAATTTTTAAATCGGATAATAATTGTGACTTCTGGAGGAACCACAAGCTAAAAACGCGATTTTTCGTACAATCAGGGGCCATAATTCGGGACGTTACGACACGATATGCGCAAATTTTGAAAGGAACCAAAATCTTTGGGTTATAAACAATATTTCAAGTTTCATCAAAATCGGATCAAAATTGTGACCTCTAGAGAGTCCACAACCCTGACATACAATATTTTACACTATTTGCGTAGGAGGGGAGGCATTTTGTCTGGCAGTTTGGTCCAATTTTCATGAAATTCGAACTCAAGCGTCATTACAATGTAACGGTGATATATTCAAATGAATTTTTAAATCGAATAATAATTGTGACTTCTGGAGGAACCACAAGCTAAAAACGTGATTTTTCGTACAATCAGGGGCCATAATTCGGGACGTTACGACACGATATGCGCAAATTTTGAAAGGAACCAAAATCTTTGGGTTATAAACACTATTTCAAGTTTCATCAAAATCGGATCAAAATTATGACCTCTAGAGAGTCCACAAGCTAAAAACATGATTTTCTACAATCAAGTGCCATAATTCAGGAAGTTATGATCAAATATGCGTGAATATTGAAAGGAACCAAGATCTTTGGGTAATAAATATCGGATCAAAATTGTGGCCGCTAGACGGTCCACAACCTTGATATACCATATTTTACACTATTTGAGTAGGAGGGGTGGCCATTTTGTCCGGCAGCTTGGTCCAATTTTCATGAAATTCGAACTCAAGCGTAATTACAATATGCGCAAATTTTGAAAGGAACCAAGATCTTCGGGTTTTAAACACTATTTCAAGTTTTATCAAAATCGGATCAAAATTGTGACCTCTAGAGAGTCCACAACCCTGACATACAATATTTTACACTATTTGCGTAGGAGGGGAGGCATTTTGTCTGGCAGTTTGGTCCAATTTTCATGAAATTCGAACTCAAGCGTCATTACAATGTAACGGTGATATATTCAAATATTTTTTAAATCAGATAATAATTGTGACCTCTGGAGAACCACAAGATAAAAACACGATGTTTCGTACAATCAGGGGCCATAATTCATGAAGTTACGATCTGATATATGCAAATATCGAAAGGAACCAAGATCTTTGGGTTATAAACTTACATTTCAAGTTTCAACAAAATCGGATAAAAATTGTGACCTCTATAGGGTCCACAAGCTAAAATGTGATTTTTTGTACAAACAGGGGCCATAATCCATGAAGTTTCGATCCGATACATGCCAATATCTAAGGCAACCAAGATCTTTTGGAGATTATTTCAAGTTTCGTCAAAATCGGATAAGAATTGTGACCTGTAGAGTGTCCACAAACAATTGTGGACGGACGGACGGATGGACAGGGGCAACAACAATATACGTCCACATAAAATGTGGGCATATAAAAAAACACAACAAAATTGAATTAATAAACTGCATTTCCCATAAAATGCATTAAATTACAGGAGTTACTGCCAGATTTTTGCAGGCTGAAGTGGACCCCCTAAATATAGCCCAATCTGTCTAATTTTTTGCATGGAGTGTTTTTTACAGGAATAGGAACAGATTAGAAAAATTGAGGGGCCATAGATACAAGGACTGTCATCGGATTCATTACTATAAGTTTTACCATGGATAGGGTGACCTAGCATAAATAAATATCTCCAAATATCTCGACAATTACGCCACAATATTTATATATATACCAAGCCTTAAATCAGTTTCACACAATTATAGTCACTAAATAAACGATCATGTTGTACTTAATAAGCTATGACCATTTAATGATCTATAAATAATAGACTGAAACTGGTTCCAAGTTTCGTCCATAACATCCAGACACTTTTGAGTAAAAGATAGGTTACGTGCCCTTGTTTTGAAATTCGTCTCGCTTAACCAGTGTACCGACCATTCTACGTCTGATTGACAGGTCGGGATAATCAAGACTACCTTTTTACGAAACATAACAGAAAGCTGGAACAAGAAATTGAATTTAGAAAAATGTACGTTAGCCAGCTCAACAATTGTTTTAAGAAGTTTGTAAAAGTAAAATGAAACTACTGCTAGTATCATGTTCCTGCCAACGAAAGTGATTCAGAGATATTATTTGTACTAAACCAAAATTTAAAAAATAAAATGAACGTAATTTCTAAATCTGCTGTAATAACCAAGAAGCTTAATTTTACTGCTATTCAAAATCGTCAACAATAAATTTTTTACGGCTGTAATAGTTGATAGATTTGTAGAGAATTGCACGTGCCATGGCTATTTATAGTATCATACTGTCAGAAAGTTGGTCTTGACACGGCTAATGTGCACGCTTCAGTGGTAGTCTCGAACTATCAGTGGTGGACTGTATATCTGTAGAGTGCATGGGTCACCCTACCATGGACCGTATATATTAGTTATGTCGGGGTTTTTTTTTTACCCTTTCTTCTTTACTCCTTTGAGGATTTTCTTTTCTTTAAGTTCACACTTCCTTTATTTAAACAATTGTTTCCATTCCTTTGATGATACTTTCTAAGGCATCTTCCATTTGTTGAGTTTCTTTTCTGCTGGAGGATGACTGGCACTATGTGGATCATTTGGCCAAAAAAGGTGTCCAGAAAATGCTGGTGAAATTTTTATCATAGCTGTTGATTTCGTTAGAAGAGTACTGTATGATGGTGGTTGTCGCTTCTTAACTTCTGATAATAGATTTTCAACATCAATCTCTGTGAATGACTTTGATGTTTGGAGTGAAACTGGGGGTATATTGAAATCAAGCGCCTCACACAGAACCTGAACATCTGAGTTGTCCTTTTTGGATTCTATATTTTCTGTAAATTACTAGAGTTTTCAAGTGGAACTGGTTCAATATTTTCTTTAAATGGGATGTCCGCTATATCAATTTCATCATGTAGTATTAATATCTCTGGGTGAACTGGGTCTACGGGTCTACACCATTATCCGGATTGGGTTTTCTTCTCCAATGTCATAATGGGGTGAACTTGTATTTGGAACTTGTATCAATATCACTGTACCCGTTATCATTTAAATCTGTTAACACCATCAATGCTATTTTGTAATTTGAAACGTCTGTTTCATTTTTAGATACTATGTCAGGCCTGCTAGACTTCTGTAACAGAGGTGAACGGTTATCACTAATAGATTATGAAAAATCAACTGCTTTGGGATGGAAGGAATAACCCACAGGTTTTAAAACCATTTGATATTGCTTTTCTGGGGTCCGATTTCATGGCCAGGTCTAACATAAGAACAAATGTTAATCAGGATAGTGATTTTCCTAAGTTGTCTGATGGCATATGTCAATTTCTTACATGTTATTCCTTTGGACTTTGAGGGGCTGAAATCGGAAACATCAGCAGGTTGTAAAATGAGGGTGGCATTGGGAAATAAACAATATAAGATGATTCCATGGGAGCTACAAACATTACTAAGATGATATGTCAAGTGTGTTTTATGTCCATCAACTACAAGTAACACTAGAAGTGGTACTGCATTCTCTGAGAGCCGAGGATGCAAAACATTAGCCACATATTCATCAAAAGTTTTTGATTTCTTCCATTCAGATTCAGACACCCCAATAGCCCACATGTCTGATACTGACTTCAATACATCTTTGGGATGTCTCACATATGGGTAGGGTTGCCTGTCCAACTTCGTGGGTTTTCTCCAGGTCCTCCAGTTTCCTCCCACTGCTAAAGACCCATACGCGCAAGCGAATTATTGAAATAAAATTGAACCATATGGAAATACACTGGCTGAAAAGGATCCCAATACAGTTAGGTTTTCTTTTTCGTTTCCTTGAGCAATTTCATACACATTTTCCACCCTCTTGGACCAAGGACTTTTCCACTTTTAGCTCATAGTTGAAAGTTGGTCTCGTCAGAATTAAATATTCAGCTTATATTCTCCAAAATGGACCGACAGGTTTCCGTCTCAAGGTAATCGTGCAACCCCTTAAACCAGCTTTTTATGTTAGCTTCAGTCAATCCAGCTCTTGCTTTGTTTATTGTTTCAACAGTAGGTACAGAAATTGAGGGATGTCTCACAAGAAATCTCTTGTACCACGTTTCACCCAAACAGTTGTTTCTGAGGAGATTTTTCTGACCATCTTCATCTATTATTCGTTTCACTGTGTTTGTCACATCAGTTTTCTTTCTAGGACGGCCGGTCATGGATAAATCAAGAATCCATTTCTCTTGCATATCCTCTTCAGCTGTTGTTAAAACGGTATTTGGACTTATTTTTCTTCCTTCAGGAACCCTTCCATGAAGCTTGTCCTGAAGAGGTGACCTCAGTATACCGAACTCAGCACTGGCTGTACGCAGACTTTTACCATCTCGTCGAAAAACTTTGTCGCACCTGAACGTGACAATATTTCACAGCTTGAGAACACACCACCAAATAATGACCTGGATGGCACTCTCTGGTGATATGGGGGTGACTGATTCGGGATGGAATATGTCTAATGATGACTGATCAACTTCATGCACTGGACAAATTATTGAAAATAGTTCACTGTAACTGCACCACACACTGCACCAGTATTGGGTGTGGTTGTTGACGTGCCAAACTGACAGTTGTGATAATAGCATCAAACCTGACATTAGTGCAGATGGAGTGGTTAACGATGATGATGATGCTCTACCTAAGGTTGCCGCGATACTCTGGGGATGGCGATATATCGCGATAATTAGGTCAGGCGATAAAATTATTGTCTGAAATCTCAAATATCACTTTATCACGATATATCGCGATAATTCTAAAAAAATATAGCGGAATTTTCATACATTAAATCCGTTCAAAATACTCCAAAAATTAAGAAGAAATCAAATTATAACAAATGCTGATACTAGATCAATTCCATTTTCTAAATTCCACAACGGACTTTGAGACAGCAGTTTTTAACGCAAAGGACCAACTGACCGACATTAGTCTCATGTATCAAGTACATTTCACTGAATAATATTAATCATTATCATACATGTGTTGGCATGCTTTGATATACCCCCATGAAGAAAGCATCCACAATATTTATAATTATGATTGATATTGTAAAGGTAAGGATACCCCTACTCGGAATGATACAGTTAAACTGCACGCGACAATATACGTCACCATAGTAACGAAGAGGAGGTTTATCATTGATTACCCAGTCCGTTGAAAATTACATTGATATTTTACATTGAAAAATCGTCTAGATAATATTTCTTTTATTCTTTGAATAAAATGGCTTCTGAGCTTGAAACTGTCAAAGTCAATCAGAATATTTCTGATGACAGTTCGGCAGACGGCAAAAACACACTGCTGTCGACACGAAAAAGAGCATTTCTTCTGTCACTCATACAGGAATATTTTAGTTTAAAAAGAACAGATATTGAGTTAATGAATATTTATTCGGTATTCCGGTCATTCCAGCTGATCAGAATAGAATGATCTGGGGTGATGATACCTACAGGAATAATCTTACCTCAGCATATACTAAACAGCAAAAAAAAACGTCAGTACGATTTCAAAATGAGAGAAGCACTTTAATCAAATCACTCTAGAAAACGACTTACTAAATGGATCAAAGCAATTTTTTGTAAACAGTATGTTGACATATTAGTGATTAATTCATCACAATTCCAAGACATTACGAGAAGGTTTAGAGTCTGTACACAGTCTATACATCAGTATCTGGTGTATCCACTGTGAGTGTCAATAACAGCAGCGCAGCGTCTGTACGTGGAGTGTACCAGACGATTGATGAAGGCCATTGGCACCTGGAACCACACTCTCAGAAAAGCCTGGCGCAATCCATCGGCTGTGTTTGGTCTTGGTATGACGTTATTAAGTATCATCTGAATTTCATCCCAAAAATGTTCAATCGGGTTTGAGTCCGGACTAAGGGCTGGCCAGTGCATAGTGTGTACACCGTTCTGTTGTAAAAAGTCCCAAGTAACTCTGGCGGTGTGGGCACAGGTGTTGTCATGCTGGAAAACGTTGTTTCGATGATGTGCGAAAAGTGGTATGACCTGGGGTCTGATAGCTTGATCGATGTAGCACACTGCTGTGATGCTGCCTCCTCTCCCTTGACCAAGATTTTGGAAGACCACAGGACCCACTTTCTGGTTCAGGCCGATTCCACTCCAAACCATTATGCTTGGACCTCCCCACGAGTCTCATTCCATGACATATTGGTCAGAATAATGCTGGCCACGTCGACGCCATATTCTGGTCCTGCCATCTGCAGTTGATACGCAATACCGACTATCATCTACAGTTCTCCATTTTCTGTGTCGCCGGTTCTGGTGTTGTTAGGCAAACTGTAGACGTTCACGTCGATGGCGAGGGGTGAGGATCGGTCAATGGTAAGGTCTATGGCAATGGATGTTCTCTCTGGTGAGACTTTGGCGCACTGTGTCGGTACTGATGGGTCTTCCATGTTTTCCCACTGTCTGACGTGCTATCTCAGAAGCCTATGTTAAGGGATTCTGCAAGTGCTATCGCACAACATGGCTGTCCTGTCGCCTTGTGGTAACCCTTGGTCAACCATTTTGGAGGCGATCATCCGTGGTGTTGGTGGCCCGAAAGCGTTGCTGAAGCCTGTAGATGGTACGAACATTGACCTGGAAGTGATTGGCAACAGCTTTGGGAGTGTGGACAGCGTTGAGTCTTCCAAGCGCCTGGTTCCTCTGAGCTGTCATGAACCGACCGTGGCATGCTGCTGACGTTGTAGAGTGAATGATTCAACCAGATATGGGCTTGCATTTTATAGGGCTTGTCCTGGTGAACAGCACGTGCAGCACGAGTTAGATGAAAATCATGGAGAACACATTACCATCTCAGAAGTCAGGTTGCATTTTTGAGAACATTTCCTGGGTTCAATTCTGTGTTTGGGAAGGAGCCTTATTGCTCAGGTAAAGTTGGAGGTGTGGTCACAAATATACAATAAAATCATTTGGCAAGTTTTATGCAATGCGTCTATTCAGAGTAACATACCAACCTGACGTTTCTTTTGCTGCTTAGTATATATACATGTATATATGTCTCACTTCATCAGTACATCTCACATACATTGTTAAATACCAAATGGATACACTAGATTCATTAATCCATTTATACACCTCAAGTTATATCAATTTTATATCAGTAATTATCACGATATGGAATTTTTGAAGCACGATAATTCTAATTATCGGGATAATTTACTCCGGAAGTTAATCAATGATATTGCGATAATTTCTGTAACGTTGCAACCTTAGCTCTACCTGACCTTCAATACTGTATCATTTAAATAAAATACTTAATATATGGAGTGATTGTACCTCCATTTATTCTTACTTTAATTTAAAAGTCATTTCTATCTAATTGGTTTTTGTTTTGATTCGATACTGTTCTATGGCGTCACTTTCTATATAATTTGTTCGTTTTCTGACTCGATATTGCATTATGACACCACTATGATGTCATAGTAACCTTTTGACCCCATAATCTGATTCAGTGATATCACTTTTATATTGACTTATAGAACATTCATTTGGTCTAAAACGCTTCTTTTCGGAGATATTTGACATTTTAAGCCATTTCACGCCGTCGTCCGCCATCTTGGATTGATTATCGATTTTCGCCTACACCCGCAAATCTGATTTTAGAAGACTTTTGCTTGAACCCTAAAGTCTTTAGCAGTAGGAGAAAACAGTAGAACTGGAATAAAACCAAACCATGTGCTTCTAAGGCAGACGACAAAGACACTTGAACAGATGACAGAGTTTTTGATCTAATGCATACAAGTCATCCTCCTCAGCCATCCATGCCTTTATCGAAGACTTTCTCTAGCAACAGGTTTTCAGTCACATAATGTTCAGAAACAAACAATACTTACAATACATCAGGATTGGCATTTATTGGTTTTGTAAAACTAACATTATAGCCACGAACTTGTTTAGTACCATGAGTGTAATCAGCTTGGAGTCTTTCACCACGTCCATATATATTAGGAAATTTAATACCAAATAACTGGAATATTTTAATAAATTTAAGAAAATAATTTAATGTTTAAATATATGAATGAAGCTGTATAGATACCATATAAAACCTATATCAATCCAGCAAGTAGTTCAGGATTTTATCCAATCAAAGCTCTGCCTTTTCCATATGGTTTTCCTATGGAGTTGAGCTACTTGATTTGAATATATGTAAATCTCAATAAGTACCACTCAGTCTAATAAGAAATGTAGAAAATAAACAACACCCAAAACTTGGTTGAATTCCATGAGAAGAAGTAAAAAAAAAAATCCAGAAAATCTCAAAATTTTGACTGATGCAAATATGTCCACTGCTTATTTGTTTTTTGTAGGTTCATTTATTCCTTGTAACTGTCACCACATTCTAACCCCATTTAATACATACAGGCAATTAATCTCTAGTATTGTACAAGATATTTGAACATGGGTGTTGTGACAAGATTATGTTATTTAAATGGAGACAATTTTAATTATGAGCTTAAATTATACTATTCAAAAAAAGTAGGGGATATTTGATTTTGGGGGCATAATACTAAAATATGCAAATGACTACGAAAAAAGTCACTATAGAACCTAACAGAAGAAACATTTCCAGTTACATGTGACGCCCAAACGCACCAATAGCTACCGCATGGAATGCAGGTGATGCTTGGGATCATCATGGGGGTCCAACCCAAGATTTGCACGACTCTGACTTTGAATGTTACAGTCATTGTGGCATTGAATTCCAGGGTGGAAACATCAGTTTAATTGTTTTAGTGACCAGAAAACAAATTTTGATATGCGTCGGCTTACCCAAAATGAAAGGTTATGTGCCCTTGGCATGCTACAGATCGACACAACACAGGCGGTTGTGGCGCGGACGATGAATGTTTCTCAGTCTGTCATAAGCAGGCTATGGTCCAGATACCGTGATACACAATCTGTACAGGACAGACCACGCTCAGGTCGACCAAGGGCGACAACTCAAGCCCAGGATCGATTTATCCGTACCTTGGCCTTGAGAAATCGTGTCATCACAGCAAATCAGATCAGCGCTCGTCTTCAAACAGACACTGGTGTGAGAGTGACGATTCGGAATCGACTGCATAGGGGTCACCTTCGCGCCCGACGTCCTCGCTTGATCCCTTGTTTGAGAGATCATCACATTCAGGCAAGACGTCGTTGGTGTAGGGATCGTCAACACTGGGATAATCGACGCTGGAGCAATGTGATGTTTTCAGATGAGTCAAGGTTCACTGTTGATTTTTTGGACAGACGTAGGAGGGTGTGGCGTCGTCGAAACGAGCGCTTCCAAGACGTTAACGTCATCAGACATGATCGATTTGGGGGTGGTTCTGTTATGGTGTGGGGAGGCATCACTGTTGCTGGAAGAACGGCTTTACATGTTGTTGCAGGGCGTGTTACAGGCCAGTACTACCGGGACAACATCTTGGCAGTCCATGTTGTGCCGTTCGCACGACGTCATGGCCGCCGTTTCATCTTCCAAGATGACAACGCAAGATGTCACAGGGCCAGGATCGTTACCTCCAACAACAGAACATCACCACATTACCTTGGCCAGCACTGAGTCCTGACCTCTCCCCCATCGAGCATGTCTGGGACATGCTTGGACAGAGGTTACGTCAACGTCAACAACGTCCTGCCAATGTCCAAGAACTTGCTCCTGCGTTGCAACAGGAATGGGATAATCTGGACCAAAATGACCTTAGACGTCTCATTAGGAGTATGCCACGTCGGATCAATGCTTGTTTGGCAAACAGAGGAGGATTTACCTGTTACTGACTTGGTTGTGATGCTGTGGTAACTTTGCTGTTTGACCCCGGGTATCATTTTACCCTTATAATGGTCAGTCTTGTGCCTTACTTAGTCTAACGATCATTTGGAATAAATCGATGAATGTGAATTTCATTTCATTTTGTCATTTGTTTCTTCGTCAGTTTCATTAGGTGACTTTAATAACACTTAAAAATCAAATATCCCCTACTTTTTTTGAATAGTATATTTATAGAATGTTATTAGTGTATAAACAGGGCGCACACTGGCTTTCAATTTTTTCCCCCCAAAATGGATAATTTTTATATATATAAAAAAAGTTTCATATCTTTTTCC